GCGGTTTGAACATATTTCAAGTGCTACTGAGCTTATTTTTTCCAGGCACTGGTTCAGGTTTGCATTTTCTAGCTGTTCTCACAGTTTATTTCTGTGAAGTTCTGGTTTATTTGCTCCCAGTTTATCTGTTTATTATTGAAGTTGAATTTGCTGAAATCTCCTCCACCGGGAATCTGGACTGGTTTTGAAGGTCTACTCCCCATGGTAATATCTTCAATTAAGTTATGATCTGAGTAACAGGTATTTGTAATCATTATGTTCCTGATCAATTCATCATTATTAGTGAAAATGTGGTCCAGCGTGTTCTCCTTCCTAGTTGATTCTACTATTTACTGGTTTAAGGCAAACCTGTCGCACATCCGTAGCAGGGTATTTGCATGTGCCTGTTCATTTAGGCTACTTCCTGGTATTCTTTCTGATATTACTGTATTAGCCAGGTGCTTCCATTTCAGGTGCCGTAGGTTGAGGTCCCCCAGCAGGATGATGTTCGGAGCTGGATTTGTGAGGTTTCCCAAGCAGTGTTCTATTTTCATTAGTTGGTCTTTAAACTGCTGAGGGTTTGCCTCCGGTGACTTATATACAAGGACAATAACTACATTTAGAACCTCTATTTTGATTATCAGCACTTCCACCATATCATTTCAGGTGTTTAGCAGCTCAGTACAGATGAGTGTGTCTTTGATGTAGAGGCTGACCCCACCCTGAAGCCGGTGTTTCCTATCACATCTGAAAAGATTGTACTCTGAGATCCATATTTCACCATCATGGTAGTCCTTTGTGTGGGTTTCTGTTAGGGCTGCAAACACTGAATTTGCCTCATGAAGGAGACCATCAATAAAGTGAACTTTCTTGGATTTGCGTGTTTTTATACCCCGGATGTTGGGAAATATAAATGATGTTATCGTGTTAGTGGAAGTGCTGGATGCCTTACTTGGTGTTAATATCTGAGGCTCTGGTAAGGAGGCCACTGTGTTTGCGTCCAGGGTGTGTTGTTTTGGAAGTGATTCGTCCAGTTTTGGTAGTAGGACGGGTGTTGTGTGGTGTAGTACCTGTGTGCTTGTTGGTAATTTGTATTCCAGTCTTGTGGGTATCTCCCTTCCCCTCTGTAATCCTGTAGTGGTTCCATCTGACTATTCCTCTCTCTTATATTTACTACTCTGTTTCTGCCTTCCTCTGAAAAATTTCCAGTAGTGTCATATTGATCTTCCTGTCTATAACGCTGTGTACCTCTTACATGGAATTCCGAACACTGAAGATTGTAGCATTTTTGTCCCTAATTGAAAATTTGAATTAATTTAGGGTGGAAGTATCTACACCCTGTTCCAAAACGGCATGTACCCCTCGCCAACATGTTCCTGCATTTTCGAGGATGCAGAAAATGGCATTTTGCTCCTAATTTTCCATATTTGCATATTCCTTTAGCGCAGAATTTGCAAATGTGTTCCGGTTTTGCGTTTTTCAAGGTATTTATATGTGTCTGTCTTGTCTACCTCCTGGTAGGTGAGGAAACATTCCGAGCTGACAGGAGGGAGGGAGGAGAAGGTGTGATGCATGGTTACAGGTGCGCGAGAGATCAGGAAACCCTGTGGTAGGTAAATTTCCCTTTGAAGTGGGGTGGATAGTGTATGGTGAAAGCGGAGTAGCTAGTGTAAGGTGGAAGCAGAGTGGATAGTGTAAGATGGAAGTGGGGTGGATAGTGTAACATGGAAGTGGAGTGGATAGTGTAAGGTGGAAGCAAAGTGGATAGTGTAAGGTGGAACTGGAGTGGATAGTGTAAGATGTGTAACGGTAAAGCTGTAGTCGACCACTGTCCCTTTCCCCCTTTCCCTTGGTTTCATCTTCCCTTTCCTCTAGTTTGTTTCCCCTCCCCTCCCCCTTGCCTCATCTCTCTCATATCAGCCATACAGGCCCCTAGAGTCAAGTGTCTGTTCCTCCACGGCCAAGTGACAGTGTTGTTTACATTAATCATCCGTTTCTATAAACTTACTAGCCTTTGGGCAACCGGTTGAAGCAGGCCAAGTTGACCCAGGGTTCTGATTGGGTACAGATAAAGGGCCTCGGTTAGTGGCCGCATATTGGTGGAAGACCAAAGAGAGGCCGGGCATTAATACGTCAGAGTGCCAGATCCCAGGCCTAGTCTTAAAATGATTGGCTGTAGCCTAAATAATTTGAGGAGCCTGGATTCTGTAGCAATGTGGGAGGAGCCATTCTCCACTTGGAGGATGTTGAACTTAATGTTAGGAATGTGAACTTGGACAAGTCAGGGGGACCTAGGAAGGCCGTCAACATCTGTGGCTGGTAACTGCAGGGAGAGGGGCAATGTGTTATTTTGATTGTGCGTTTCAGTTATTTACTACACCAATTACCTCGGTAGGATTTATTAAAAGGTAGGATATATTTTCGCGTCATTTATTTGAATAGTTAATTTTGATTAATTTTGGTGTTTAGCTAATTTTCCCTTTTATTATTTTTTGAGTCTTATTAAGATTTCTCATTTCATGCTGTATTGGAAGTTCCCTGTGTTTCTCTCCATCCCATTGTGACTAAAAGATGTCCCCTGGTTCTCAATAAGTAAATAAAAGTTTCTATAATTTATTCCAAGTATTAAATGCCAAGATTCCTACATCCTCCGAGAATATTTATTGGTCTTTGTCCTTCCCTGGGAAATCAGTAAATGCTGTCACATTCGGGCAACAGACAGGGGGTAGTTGCAGTAAAGTAAGATTTTATTAATTAATAAGGCATAACAATTCTAGTTCTTGTGTTCTTCATTGATGAACATCTGTGCAGACGAGTCTGGTAAGTACACTACGGGGCAAGGGACTTACCAACAGGTGTTGACCAGGTGTTATAGGTGGAGGAGTATGACTCAGGTGTTATACCTCGAGGGTGTTACGGGTGGAAGCCGAATAGATAGTGCAAGGTGGAAGCAGGGTGGATAGTGTAAGGTGGAAGTGGGGTGCATAGTATAAGGTGAAAGCGGAGTGGATAGTGTAAGGTGGAAGTGGAGTGGACAGTGTAAGATGGAAGCAGGGTGGATAGTGTTAGGTGCAAGTGGGGTGCATAGTGTAAGGTGGAAGCGGGATGCGAAGTGTAAGGTGAAAGCAGGGAAGAAATCCAGTGGAAAAGGGGGTAAGCTGGTGGAGCTGTGGGTGGAAGTAATGGCTAGTAGAGGCGGGAGTAAGTGGTAGCCGTAGAAGGAAGTGGGGTAAGAGGTGGAGGGAGTGTTGGCATATGGAGCGGGGTAAGAGGGGGACGCGAATTTGTCCGAATTTTAAACTTTCCCTTACTAAATCTTAAGCCAAATGTTTCAATACAAATCTACAATTGCAACATGCTTAAAAGTAGGAATGAGGAGAATGAACGAAGTCCATACATTGTGTTCACATTGTATTCACTTTTTGAGGCTGCTTAATCGAGCTATTTAGCTCTTGTTCCCCGTCTTTCTAACCAACCTCTTTTTCCTATATTATGTCTATCACATATATTTCTCTATAACATGCACACACAAATGGTCAGATGACTGGCAAATGCTTTTTAATATCGACAAATGCATGTTCTGTATTTGAGAACTTTTTCAGTGTCAGAGTAGTTAACAGCTGGAATGCATTAGGCAGTGATGTGGTGGAAGCAGACTCCATACATAGTTTCAATTGTAAATATGATAAGAGCCCAGTAGGCTCAAGAATCTGTACATCAGTTGATTGACAGTTGAGAGGTGGGACCAAAGAGCCAGTGATCAACCTCCACAAACACAACTAGGTGAATACACATACCCCAGGAAGCAACCCATAGCAGCTGTCTAACTTCCAGGTACCTATTTACTGCTAGGTGAACAGTTGCATCAGGTGAAAGAAACTCTGCCTATTTGTTTCTGCCTCTGCTGGGGATCGAACCTGGGCCCTTCAGACTAAGACTCCAGATTGCTGTCTACTCAGCCATGAGGCCTCCTAGTATTACGAGGTAATACTGTAGTATTACAGCAGTGTTTACATTTCAGTATTACATGTGTTCGAAATGTAAATTAAATTTGTGTTCACATTGCAGTATTACATCCGTGTTGACACTGGAGTATTACAACAATGTTCACACTGTAGTAGTACATATGTTCAAATTGTGGTATTATTAATGAAATCACACTGTAGTAGTATACCTGTTTTGACACTGGAGTATTATTGATGAAATCACACTGTATTCACCTAGCTGTGCTTACAGGGGTTGAGCTCAGCTCTTTCGGCCCGTCTCTCAACTGTCAATCTTTTTTTCACACCTGCCCCGTGTCCACCGGTGCAGGTGTGTGTAATACTGCCCCGGTGTGTTCACCGGGGCAGTATTACAGCCGTGTTCACTCTGCAGTATTACAGCGATGTTCACTCTCCAGTATTACAGCCGTGTTCACACTGCAGTATTACAACCGTGTTCACTCTGCAGTATTATAGTCGTCTTCACTCTGCAGTATTACAGCCGTGTTCACTGCAGTATTACAGCCGTGTTCACTGCAGTATTACAACCATGTTCACTGCAGTATTACAGCCGTGTTCACACTGCAGTATTACAGCCGTGTTCACACTGCAGTATTACAACCGTGTTCACTTTGCAGTATTACAGCCGTGTTCACTGCAGTATTACAGCCGTGTTCACACTGCAGTATTACAACCGTGTTCACTCTGCAGTATTATAGTCGTCTTCACTCTGCAGTATTACAACCATGTTCACTCTGCAGTATTACAGCCGTGTTCACTGCAGTATTACAGCCGTGTTCACACTGCAGTATTACAACCGTGTTCACTCTGCAGTATTATAGTCGTCTTCACTCTGCAGTATTACAACCATGTTCACTCTGCAGTATTACAGCCGTGTTCACTGCAGTATTACAGCAGTGTTCACTCTACAGTATTACAGCGGTGTTAACTCTGCAGTACTTGATCAGCATAGTTTACTAATAAATCTCGCACAAGCTGCTTAATGTGGGTAAAAATACATAATAAAGTATTACATACTTAGTGTGGTTGGCAGCGTCCCGTCCAGCGCTGTGAGTGTGGCTGACTGAGGCGTGAGGCGGCTGTCCACAGTGGCGAGGCGGGCGGACGGGTCCAGGACCTGTGTACCTGCACCTGCTGGCGGCCACGGGGTGGA